CCAACTTAGATAAGGACAAGTGAATCATAGGCAGAGTCATAGTGACCTGTCCCCTGAACCTTCACCCAGCCGATACCAGGTTCTGAAAGATATCTGTATTCCCCCTGAACACCCACACTCCAGTGTCATCCCCTTCCCCACATCCTGCCTTTCTGTTTTTATAACCCCTATGTGAATGAATTACGATTTGAGAAAAAATGAATAAATTATTTAAAAAAAGAAGAAAAACATGTACCGAAAAGACTTGGTACTAAACAGAATGCAGCATGTAATTACAAAGGAACACTATGGCTAGAACTCCTAGGAGGCTCCAGAGTTTTGATGACATTTAGGGGAAAAAATGGAAACTTTAAAAATCTGATTTAAGGAAAAACTGCCAAATTTCTTTAAGTTTGGATCTTACTTAAACCATAAGAGAGCAAATACAATCTGCTTAGTCATTTGTGGGACAGTTATACACAGCAAAACAAAGAAAAGTATTTCACGACCTTTAGGCTTATAAGTCTAGACAGTTGGGAGACTGACCAGAGCTAGGGAGAGAGGTCAATGCAGGGATCTAGATTCCTTTGTTATGAATATAGAAACTCAGCGAGAAGAGAACCATCCAGCTTAATCAAAGTTACCCTGTGGTTTAAATGTGTTCTAATTTTATTATACACATTTAAAACTCAGACAGAGCAGTTAAAATTACTTCAATTTTATATTAGGGAAAAAGAGTGGGTCAGAGACTGAGTACTGACCTAAGGTTACACAGCTTATACAAAACTGAGAATTAACTTCCATTTTCTTCACTTCTCTGGAAATATGTGCATTATTTAGAATGAGAAAGAGAGAATTTTAATGGTATTGTGAGACATCCAAAAAGCATTTTTCAAGAACTTCACAGAGGGCTGTTATAAAACCCACCATTGATGAAAATGAAGATTCCACAGTTGTGGAGTGAGAAGAACCATATTTTGAACATGTAGTTACTGGGAAGGACGTGGTGGAAGGTGCTGGCCACCCTGACTCTTATGTATGGTAAAGCTTCAAAAACAACTATCTCATTACCTCTAATGTGCCTTTCATATTGTGACTATAGGATTGGATGTTTTACACCAGAATAAACAGAAATGCAAGTTGTAAGCTGTGCCAGTGAAAGATGAATGACACCAGCTGTCTAACCTCAGCGGTTGAAAGATCTTTCTCAGTGAACTATAACGTTCTTCTCTTTCAGTGTCTTTAAGAGCTAGTATTATTTTGAACATGTGATTTTTGTATGTCTCTAGGCTTACATAATTTGAGATTCTTAATAGTGTATTGACAAAGAAGGTACCCATTTATTTCTTCGTGATATTGCTTATAAGAAATTAAAGTTGAATTTGACTATAAAAAAAGAAGTTGGGATCAAATCAAAACAATCTCTGAGAGCATCACTAAGAGACAAGACGATGCAGAGCATGGAATTAAGTATTTCAGGTTCTGAAATGATATAATTATGAACCAGGAATGCTATGCACAACAGAGGCATCTTTCAGAATTGATGGAGAAGTTTAGGTATTTTAATACCAATACAAATTAAGGCAATTCATGACAACCAAGCCACCTTTTAGAAAGTTTGTAATGGAATACTTTATAGGGAGGAGAAAGAAAGTAAGGCTCCTCCTCCTGAATACAGGAAAGTGTCTACTCCATGAAAAGAAAAGATAATCAAATTAGACTCAAGAGAGAGACAACAACAGCTGACACAGAACCTCAGCAAACCCTTGAAACAATATGGGAAAAGGAAAAGAACTACAAATGGTCCAGCAAAGCAACATCACCAGACAAGTTTATAGGAAATAGGAGCACCCTGTAGATCTTCATGTAGGGATGAGCTTAGTGCTCTTCCTTCATCCACTTTGGCGTGTCTATTGTTGTTGTTCTTGCTCAGCTTATGCATAGACATTTTTTCTTTACTAAAAGGTCTGCATACAATGTATCATTTCCTATGAATAAATACTATAAATAGACTACTATAAAGTTTATACAATTTCAATGTATTTTGCTGATGATTATAAATCTACAACAAAACTATCAATAGTATAACCCTTAAATCAAGAAGATGAAGACAGTTTGGTTATGAGTGATGAAAGGACCAGATCTGATAGGAAGACCAGTAGGGGAATTTAGCGTTGATGCAATGTTTTATTATTTTAATAGTTCATATTTTTTATCTATTTTCTAATATAGACACTAACAAGTCTTAAAACCTATCATACTCCTGGGCATATACCCAGAAGATGCTCCAACATATAACAAGGACATATGCTCCACTATGTTCATAGCAGCCTTTTTTATAATAGCCAGAAGCTGGAAAGAACCCAGATGTCCTTCACTAGAGGAAAGGATACAGAAAATGTGGTACATTTACAATGGAATATTACTCAGCAATTAAAAACAATGAATTTGAGAAATTCTTAGGCAAATGGATGGAACTAGAAAATATCATCCTGAGTGAGGTAACCCAATCACAAAAGAACACACAAAGTGTGCACTTACTGACAATTGAATATTAGCCCAAAAGCTCAAAATACCCAAGATACAATTCACAGACCTTGTGAAGCTCATGAAGAAGGAAGACCAAAGTGTTGGGTGCTTTGGTCGTTCTTAGAAGGAGTAACAAAATACTCATGGGAGCAAATATGGAGACAAAGCATGGGACAGAAACTGAAGGAGGAGTCATCTGGAGACTGTTTCACCTGGGTATCCATCCCATGTGCAGTCACCAAAGGTAGACACTGATGTGGATGCCAGGAAGTACATGCTGACAGGAGCCTGATAGGAGCTGATATAGAGGTCTGCCAGAGCCTGACATATACTGATCATGGGGTTCCCAATGGAGGAGTGAGAGAGAAGGCTGAAGGAGCTGAAAGGGATTGTGGCCCCAAGAGGAGAACAACAATACCAACCAACCAGAGCTCCCAGGGTCTAAACCACCAGCCTGGGAGCACATAGGGAAGGACCCATGGCTCCAGCTGTATATGTAGGGGAGGATGGCCTTGTTGGACATAGGTGGGAGAGGAAGTCCTTGGTCCAGTGAAGGCTGGATGCCCCAGTGTGGGGGAATTCATGGGTGGGAGCACATCCTCATAGAAGCAGGAGGAGGAGAGATGGGATAGGGGGTTCCTGGGTGTGTGTGGGGGAATGGGGAAAGGGGATCACATCTGAAATGTAAATAAAATATCCAATAAAGAAATTGAAAAAAGCTATCAAGATGATTCATACCTATTATTTTCCATTATTTCCATAAAGTGTGAGTGTGGGAAGATGTGCCTGCCTCCTTAAGAGTCTGACCATCTGCATGCAGGCATTTCTCCTGTTTCTGGGAACACACAGTTCTCAGCTTATGTTCTTCTCGGATCCTGTTTGTTTTATTCAGACCTGTGTATTGTAGGCTTTTTCGTTAAACTGCAAACCAGTGTCTCCTTTTCTTTTATGTGTTCTTACTATTCACTTTCAGTAAAACTTTAGTCAGTGCTTTTGGATTTATTTTGAACTGAATTACAGAAACTTAATAAGTATCACATGATAAAAACTATTAGCTAACTTCGAAGTTTAACCTCCAGAATGTATCACTTTTAAAGTGGTTCACTTTTAACCACCACTCCCTCTAGATAGTCATGTCTTCTGATTATCTTGCATTTCCTTAGAGGAACTAAGTAAAGGAGTGAAGCAGGTTGTTTTTCTGTGATTTGTGGGATCAGATGGCTGGAAGTCACTTTTGCTAACCGTGTTGGTCCACTAGGGGGCACTGCAGGCTTCCCAGAAATGACATAGTTTTTTGTTTGTTTGTTTTTTTAACAAGAACAACAAAAAGAAGACAGGGCAGGAATGAGGAACAGTTAGAGGGAGAACCAGAAGGTGGATAATGACTGGACTGTAGACTGTAAAAAAAGATGAAATAGTAGTAGTAATAGTAACAATAATAATAATAATAATAGTAATAATAGTAATAATAGTAATAATAGTAATAATAGTAATAATAATAATAACGATAGAGAACATGTGACTCTATCAGGTCACAGACAGCAAAGTTTATCCCTGTTTGTTAGCTTCGCTATTCTGTAGAACTATAAAACTTGAGGAGCCCAGAAATCCATTGTGAGGACTATTCTGTGGGGAGGCATAAGGAAATAGAAGTTTACGTTGGTCAACATGAGGACTGAAGCTCAGTAGAAAACATCTCTACTGCATGGCTTCAATGTTTAAATTTTATGGTGAAAATTCCCCATTCACTGACCCAGAAATTATTATAAAACCGGTGATAGTCAAAGTTTTAACTATCTTCTCTCAGACTAGCAGAAACAAGAGAAAGCAGCCGAGAGGAGGAAAAGCAATAGGGACCAAACATGGAGGAAGCAATACAGAGACCATGGAATTTGACCAGCATCGTGTGAGCCTGCAGGGTGCAGGAAAGGACTGGTGAAGAAGGGCAGAGGTAGGGAATGAATCAGAGTCAATGTTGTGTGCATAACCTGTTTGTTTTGACAAGTGAATATTTTATAGAAAACATTTTCTTTGAAGATGGTGATCCGTTGATTTTGAGAGATTTTATGTACTCTTCAGCACACATTGCACTTCATTAAAGAGTTTTCTTTTGTAAGAATTTTCATACAACTGCATTCTCAAATCCTATCAAATTATGGAATTTAAGAATTTAATTTTAAGATTTAAGCTACCAAATGAATCAACCAACCAACCAACCAACCAACCAACCAACCAACCAACCAACCAACTTACCAACCAACTCACCCTCTCTTCAGTTTTCATGCTGTTAGTGTCATGGCCTTTTGCTTCCCTGCATGGTTTCTATTCATAGCTAGGGGAGCAGTGAATTGTCAAGCCTCGCTGGGCTGCTGTGGGTGTGGTTTTCCATCAAGATGAAAGAGCTCAGATTTTATTGGTGCCTGGTAAGTGAGAGAGATGAAGAGTCTGCAGCCTGTTGGAAATAAGTTACATATTTCCTGGAGCTGGGGTGAAGGCACCTCAGCAGTTTGTCAGGATCCATGGAGAGGAGCCTGGAAATTGTGCTGGGGCTGCTGTGGGTGAGGCTTTTCTGTGAGTTGTGGCTCTCCCACATGGGGTTAGGGGTGCTCTAGAGGGACCAGTAGGAGGGGTAGAAGACAAAGCTGACCTCACGATTGTCTCCTGGGCTATCAAACAGGGGTGGAAAATGCCGAATGATTGTTCTTCATATGGTTTGTCTTTTTTTTTCTCTGAGCAGGGGTGAGAGGAGACGAGGTGGAGCAGAGTCCTTCAGTCCTGAATCTCCACGAGGGAACCAGTTCTGCTCTGAGATGCAATTTTTCTACCACCATGAGGACTGTGCAGTGGTTCCGACAGAATCCCAGGGGCAGCCTCATCAATCTTTTTTACCTGGTCCCAGGAACAAAGGAGAATGGGAGGTTAAAATCAACATTTGATTCTAAGGAGCAATACAGCACCCTGCACATCAGGGATGCCCAGCTGGAGGACTCAGGCACCTACCTCTGTGCAGGGCAGGCACAGTGCTCCCAGCAAGCCTGCAGCCTGGCCCCAAACTGTAGCTGGGTGTGTAGCTAAGGTCTTGCCACAGCGAGTTGGCAGCAGCGTTTGCACAGCTGTGGGGTTTCAAGTTTATGCTGCATCTCTGTCATCTCTGCTAACGCTAGACTGTTCAGGATTGCTGTTTCACTTCATTGTACCCTTTCCCTCAAAGATTCTCATTCTCTGGAACAAATTCTTATGAAGACTATTAGGACAACTGAGAAAGATGACAAAGTTCAAAGTACTGTCATGTCCGTTGGCACAGTGTTAACTGCTCGTAAATTAATGTTTGACAAAAGGCTTTAAAGAGACATGCTGTTCATCAAACAGAAAAGAGATGACTCAATGTTTCAGTCAACTGCAGATCTTTATGTAGAAGAATGAGACTGTTATTAGTTCTTTGATAATTTCATACATTACACTCTGATCATGTTCACTTCTCTACCCCTCCTTCTTACTCATCCAGTTTCTTGTTCTTCGATTTTGGAGAAAAAGAGAACCTTCAAGTACAGTGTGTGCTGTCCATACCACTTGGATGCGGCCTTCGCTCAAGTGCTGTTGGGGCCATAACTGGAGCCAACTCTAAAGAAAATAGATTGTCTTTCTCCTAGTAGCTATCAGATGTCAGTATCTCCTTAGTTAGGGGCAGAACTGCTCATCTTTCCCATGCTGGAAGTTTGTGTGGCTTGATCTCATGTAGATCTTGTGGATGCTATTCCAACTGCTTTGAGTTCATGTAAATTAATTTTCTTTTTAATTGAAGATTCTATGATAAAATGTATAAAGAAAAATTCTGAATTACATACAAATTATGGTGATTTGAATAAAAGTTGCCCCCATAGGCTCGTGTATTTTCATGCTTTATCTTTCATTGATGAACTGTTTGGGAAACATTGGAAGATGTGTGGATTTGTTGGACAAAGTGTTTGATGTATGTCACTGAAAGTGGGCTTTGAGGTTTAAAAGCCCACACCAGGCCCAGTGTTTCTTTCTCTGCCTGATGCCTAGTGATCAGGATGGAAAACATTCCCAGCACCACACTGCTTGCTACCATATTCCTGGTCATGGTGATAATGAACTAACCCTCTAAATCTCTAGGCAAGTTCCAATTTAAAATTTTTTATAAGTTGCTTTGGTTATGTTATCTCTTCACAGCCATAAATAATAACTAAGACACAAATCATAAAGCCACTTTTACTTTATCAGATCTCCACAACTTACAAAATAAAGTTTGAGGAAGTATTTAATCTCTACTATGTAAGTTCACTACTATGAAAGTTAATGTTTACAACAAAAGAAGGCTTACAAAAGCCTCAGGTCTATGAGTAGTTAACTCATTTCGAAAAAATTGTTCCTCTACAATCATCGAACCTAGATTTAACAAAGCGTGTATCTAGTGACTAATTCACTAGTCATGTCTGCCGATATTCCTACAGTGCACATCAGAGCTGTAAGAGTTCAAGTGTTTTACATTTCTTTTTTTTTTAGATTATTATAAATATCTTTTATTGTTTGACCATTTCTTTTTTTTTTCTTTTTTTTTTATTGGATGTTTTATTTACATTTCCTATGTTGTCCCCTTACCCCATCCCCCACCCACCCCTGAATCCCCAATCCCCTCACCCCTCCTCCTTCTTCTCTGTGGATGTAACCTCTATCTACTCTCCCCCCCTCCCACTTCCCCCCCTCTGAATTCCCCACCCCCTGGGGCATCCAGCCTTCATGAGGTCAAGGTTCTCTTCTTCCACCTATGCCCAGCAGGGCCCTCCACTCTTACATATTCAGCTGAAGCCCTGGATCCCCCCCCCCCCAAGTGCTCCCAGGCTGGTGGTTAAGACCCTGGGAGCTGTGGTTGGTTGGTATTATTGTTCTCCTCATGGTGCCGCAAATCCTTTCAGCTCCTTCAGTCTTCACTCTAACTCCTCTATTGAGAAACCCATGATCAGTCCAATGGCTAGTTGTGAGCATCTGCCTCTGAATATGTCAGACTCTTGAAGACCTCTGAGGAGACATCCATATCAGGCTCTTATCAGCATGCACTTCCTGACTTCCACATCAGCATCTACCTTTGGTGACTGCACATGGGATGGATACTCAGGTGGAAAGGTCTTCAGACGGCCCCTCCTTCAGTTTCTGTCCCTCGATTTGTCTCCATATTTGCTCCCTTGAGTATTTTGTTGCTCCTTCTAAGAAGGACCGAATCACCCCCATTTGGTCTTCCTTCTTTATGGACTTCATGTGGCCTGTGAGTTGCATCTTGGGCATTTCAAGGTTCTGGGCTAATATCCAATAATCGGTGAGTGAATACCATGTGTGTTCTTTTGTGATTGGCTTACCTCACTCAGGATGATAATTTCTAGATCCATCCATTTACCTAGGAACCTCTCGAATTCATTGTTTTTAATAGCTGAGTAATACTCCATTGTGTAAATATACCACATTTTTTGAATCCATTCCTCAGTTGAAGGACATCTGGGTTCTTTCCAGCTCCTGGCTATTATAAATAAGGCTGCTATGAACATAGTTGAGCATGTGTCCTTGTTATATGTTCGAGCATCTTCTGGGTATATGCCTAGGAGTGGTATAGCTGGATCCTCGGGTAATGCTATGTCCAATTTTCTGAGGAACCGCCACACTGATTTTCAAAGTGGTTGCACCATCTTGCAGTCCCACCAACAATGGAGGAGTGTTCCTCTTTCTCCACACCCTCGCCAGCATCTACTATCACCTGAGTTTTTAATCTTAGCCATTCTGACTGGTGTGAGATGGAATCTCAGGGTTGTTTTGATTTGCATTTCCCTGACGACTAAGGATGCCGAGCATTTCTTTAGGTGCTTCTCGGCCATTCGAGTTTCTTCTGTTGAAAATTCTTTGTTAAGCTCTATACCCCATTTTTTAATAGGGTAATTTGGTTGTCTGGAGTCTAATTTCTTGAGTTCTTTGTATATATTGGATATTAGCCCTCTATCAGATGAAGGATTGGTAAAGATCTTTTCCCAATTTGTTGGTTGTCGTTTTGTCCTATTGACAGTGTCCTTTGCCTTACAGAAACTTTGCAATTTTATGAAGTCCCATTTGTCAATTCTCGATCTTAGAGCATATGCCATTGGAGTTCTGTTCAGGAACTTTTCCCCTGTGCCCAAGTATTCGAGGCTTTTCCCCACCTTCTCTTCTATTAGTTTCAGTGTATCTGGTTTTATGTGGAGGTCCTTTATCCACTTAGATTTGAGCTTTGTACAAGGGGATAAGAATGGATCAATTTTCATTCTTCTACATGTTGTCCTCCAGTTGAACCAGCACCATTTGTTGAAAATGCTGTCCTTTTTCCACTGGAGAGTTTTAGCTCCTTTGTCAAAGATCAAGTGACCATAGGAGTGTGGGTTCATTTCTGGGTCTTCAATTCTATTCCATTGATCTTCCTGCCTGTCTCTGTACCAATACCAGGTAGTTTTTATCACTATTGCTCTGTAGTACAGCTTGAGGTCAGGGATGGTGATTCCTCCCGAAGTTCTTTTATTGTTGAGAATAGTTTTCGCTATCCTGGGTTTTTTGTTATTCCATATGAATTTGAGAATTTCCTTTTCTAACTCTGTGAAGAATTGAGTTGGGATTTTAATGAGGATTGCATTGAATCTGTAGATTGCTTTTGGCAAGATGGCCATTTTTATTATATTAATCCTGCCAATCCATGAGCATGGGAGATCTTTCCATCTGAGATCTTCTTCAATTTCTTTCTTCAGAGACTTGAAGTTCTTGTCATACAGGTCTTTCACTTGCTTGGTTAGATTCACACCAAGGTATTTTATATTGTTTGCAACTATTGTGAAGGGTGTCATTTCCCTAATTTCTTTTTCAGTCTGTTTATCTTTCATGTAGAGGAAGGCTAATGATTTGTTTGAGTTGATTTTATAACCAGCCACTTTGCTGAAGTTGTTTATCAGGTTTAGGAGTTCTCTGGTTGAAGTTTGGGGGTCACTTAAGTATACTATCATATCATCTGGAAATAGCGATATTTTGACTTCTTCCTTTCCTATTTGTATCCCTTTGACTTCTTTTTGTTGTCTAATTGCTCTGGCTAAGACTTCCAGTACTATATTGAATAGGTAGGGGGAGAGTGGGCAGCCTTGTCAAGTCCCTGATCTTAGTGGGATTGCTTCAGGTTTCTCTCCATTTAGCTTGATGTTGGCTACTGGTTTGCTGTAAATTGCTTTTACTATGTTTAGGTAGGGGCCTTGAATTCCTGATCTTTCCAAGACTTTTATCATGAAGGGATGTTGAATTTTGTCAAATGCTTTCTCAGCATCTAGTGAGATGATCATGTGGTTTTTTTCTTTAAGTTTGTTTGTATAGCGGATTACATTGATGGATTTCCGAATATTGAACCATCCCTGCATTCCTGGGATAAAACCTACTTGATCATGATGGATGATTGTTTTGATGTGGTCTTGGATTCTGCTTGCTAGAATTTTATTGAGTATTTTGCATCGATGTTCATAAGGGAGATTGGTCTGAAGTTCTCTTTCTTTGTTGGGTCCTTGTGGGGTTTGGGTATGAGTGTAATTGTAGCTTCATAGAACGAATTGGGTAGTGTTCCTTCTGTCTCTATTTTGTGGAATAGTTTGAAGAGAATTGGTATTAGGTCTTCCTTGAAGGTCTGATAGAATTCAGCACTAAAACCATCTGGTCCTGGGCTTTTTTTAGTGGGGAGGCTTTTGATGACTGCTGCTATTTCCTGAGGGGTTATGGGACTATTTAGATGGTTTATCTGCTCCTGGTTTAACTTCGGTACCTGGTATCTGTCTAGGAAATTGTCCATTTCATCCAGGTTTTCCAGTTTTGTTGAGTATAGGCCTTTGTAGTAGGATCTGATGATTTTTTAAATTTCTTCAGTTTCTGTTGTTATGTCTCCCTTTTCAGTTCTGATTTTATTAATTTGGATACTGTCTCTGTGCCCTCTGGTTAATCTGGCTAACGGTTTATCTATCTTGTTGATTTTCTCAAAGAACCAACTCCTGGTTTTATTGATATTTTGTATTGTTCTTTCTGTTTCTATTTGGTTGATTTCAGCCCTGAGTTTGATTACTTCCTGCCTTCTACTCCTCCTGGGTGTATTTGCTTCTTTTTGTTTTAGAGCTTTTAGTTGTGCAGTCAACTTGTTAGTGTGTGCTCTTTCCAGTTTCTTTTTGTAGGCACTTAGAGCTATGAGTTTTCCTCTTAGCACTGCCTTCATGGAGTCCCACAAGTTTTGGTATGATGTGTCCTCATTTTCATTGAATTCTAAAAAGTCTTTAATTTCTTTCTTTATTTCTTCCTTGAGCAAGTCATCATTGAGTAGAGAGTTGTTCAGTTTCCATGTGCACATGGGTTTTCCATTGGTTTTGTCAGTATTAAAGACCAGTCTTATTCCGTGGTGATCTGATAAGATGCAAGGGATTATTTCAATCTTTTTGTATCTGTACAGGGTTGTTTTGTGACCAATTATATGGTCTATTTTGGAGAAGGTACCATGAGGTGCTGAGAAAAAGGTATATTCTTTTGTTTTAGGATGAAATGTTCTATAGATATCTGTT